GCGCTTTCCCCGTCCAGCAGCATACGCCAAGACACAGGCAGGCGCACACGGCGTACCGTCCCCACAGCCACGTGGTTCCTCGCAATCCCCCTTAGCGCACATTTCAACATCGGAGACGACAAGTCTAGCTCGACAGAAGCTTCCAGCCTATGAAAATGTTGTACAGCCGTGAGTTTTCCGGATATTGTACTCGCTAGATTACCCTCAGACTCGAAACACCAGGCTACGAAGTCTATCAACTCCCACACATGAAGGTCCCCGGCACGTTGCCCTACGAACTTGGGCTTCTCCGTCAGCCTGCGAAACGTGCACCAAGAGTTGAAGCCTGACGTGTAAGTCCTTCTAGACGAAGACGCAACTGAGTGCTCGACGAGCTGCATGCCAAGACGTCGGTAACAAAGTCCCGTCCTGCCTGTCCCAGGTCCTGAACCTGCTGATAGCCCTGGAGCCAACCTCGTGTAGACCGGCGTGCTGCCGTTCGATTTAGCCGCAGGTGCGCTGCCATCCGAGGTAGGCCCCCCCGCTACGCGGGAGAGCCCGCACCCCTATTTGTCTTTCCCGTGGGTGAAGAAGCCAGCGGCCTTGGGTCTCGCGCCGCCCTCGCCAGCGGCGCGCGCCTCTCCTCCGCGCCCTCCCCCGTTGCCGTGGCCAACGCCGCGCGCGCCGGTTGCCGGAGTTTCGGACGCTCCGCGCCTAGCGTGGGAAGGGTTCTGGGCGTGGATGTGTGGGCAGTTACGATCATGGCAACCGGACGACGAGTTGAAGGCGAAGCAGTAACCACGAGCGTGTCGAGCGATGCCGCCACTTTCTCTGTCACCAGGACGCCTTTGCGAAGCAAGGATTGCCACTCCATCTGCGACAGTTTTGAAACTGCCGGGGGCCGCCCCAGGATGAGCCACGCTTTTACCCGGCGGAGGTCCCCCCACATCCGCGCTCTATCCTTTGCCGTAGCCTTAGCCGCCTCGGCGCTGGGTGTAGCGGGGGCCCGAGAGGCCGATGGTGGGGCGGTTGTGCCCACAAGTTGCACCCCCCCCCGGAAGGCCAGGTCCTGCTGCTTGGGTGGCGATCAGGTCGTCGATCGTTGCTTGAAGCTGCTGGCGATCACCGGCAGCCTCATCGCGCTTCCGCTGCAGCTCCTCCCTCAGGCCGTCCACCAGCCCGCGGAGAGAAGCGAGCTCAGTCTCATCAGCGGGGGGGTCGCCGCGGGTGCCTGTCCCTGGCGCTCGCGAGGAGGATACCGCTCGACGCCTCGCGGGAGTACGTGATCCGCTGCGCGTCGAGGGGCGAGCCGTCGAGCTCGCCACCGATCGCGCGGTAGACCTCTCGTGCGTGGTGTCGAAGGTGTCGCCGCCCGACCTCGCCCTGCTTGCCCAGCCGCTGCCCTGCCGCTCCGCGTGGAGGCCCGTGTCGGCATCTGGTCGCGGTTGGAGTCGTATAAGCAGCGGACCGGCGGCAGGCGGCGGGCGAGCGTCAGGGCGGCGTTGCGGGAACACTTCTTTTCCTCTTCATCGTGGGCGTAGTCGATCGCGCGCCTGGATCTGCAGTTAGAATGGTCTACAAATCCTATCTTCGGGCGAAACTATCTGACGTGGGTTTTCGTCGGGCCCAGAACGACGCGTTGTTATATCGCGAGCTCGCGTTAGTTCATTCTCGACGCCTGTGGATTGAATGGAGTGATTATTGCTGCTGACGCTACGGTCACCGGACGTCGACCAATCCCGAATATTTCTCTCTTTGGAACACTAGCGATGGTTTCTCTTTTTTTTTTTTTATATATATATTTTCTTGGATTCGGTGAACCCCGGTTCGCCATCGGCACGGGTGCTTCCACTCATTGGCGCGTCCCGTGCTGATACGTGTTTTTTTTTTTTTCGATGCGTTGGATACGGTGAACTCCACTTGCCAACAGCGCGGGTGCTTCCACTCATTGGCGCGTCCCTCGCTGAAACTGACAACACATATGCAGCACGGGTGCTTCCACTCATTGGCGCGACCCGCACTGATGATACTTGTACGCAGCGCGGGTGCTTCCACTCATTGGCGCGTCCCTTGCTGAAACTGACAACACATATGAGCACGGGTGCTTCCACTCATTGGCGCGTCCCGTACTGATACGTGTATGACTTCGTTTTCGATGCGTGGAGATCGGTTAATTCTACTCGCCCAACAGCACGGGTGCGCCCACTCATTGGCGCGTCCCGTACTGATACGTGTACGGCGTTTTTGTTCTTTCTTTTTGAGATCGGTTAACTCTACTCGCCAACAGCACTCATTGGCGCGTCCCTTGCTGAAACTGACAACACATATGCAGCACGGGTGCTTCCACTCATTGGCGCGTCCCGTACTGATGCATGATTTGTGGTATTTCCTTACCGCTGCGTTGAATTCGGTTAACTCTACTCGCCAACAGCGCGGGTGCTTCCACTCATTGGCGCGTCCCGTGCTGATACATGTACGGCGTTTTGTTCTTTCTTTTTGAGATCGGTTAACTCTACTCGCCAACAGCACGAAAACTGCCGCCGCTACTGCGTTAGGCGGCTGCTGCTGTCCTTCCGTTGCTTCACGCGCTCTGTAGCTGTCACACGTTACCCGACTTTGCTACAGCCCCTGCGTGGACTCGATCACGGAATGACACCCCCAACTATAGACTAATAATTCCAAACACCGTGACCCTGGGTTTCCGGTAGAAAATGAAGCCAAATTCTAATTCGACTGTTACAAAATAAACACCAGTTTATTCTATCTGCTTCGACGAACAAACCTTCCTTTTTGGAAGCAAAGCCAGCGGTTTGTGCGATGGGGCAGGTCCAATCGAAACGGTTTCACGGAACAACAATTATCAGCAGATGGTGACCGCGACACACCCGGGAGTCACACAAAACATTCGCCTGGATGTCAATGCCTCCAATGGTCTAACCCGGGTCACGAAAGACAAAGGTAACATGGCCAATGCGCAGGCGGAGCTCGCCGGATCCGGAACCGGGATGCTGAGATCCCAATAGTTCACTTCACGCGGGGCGGCGGCCCGGAATCTGAATGCGCTGGCGGCGCAGGATTATCGGACCCAGCACTAGCGTCAGTCTGCGGCATGGGGCCAACCGACGCAAGCGGATCTGTACAAGAAGAGCAGTTGCCACTCCATGCACACGTCACCAAGCTCCAACTCGGCACATCCGGCCCAGGGGATGAATTGAAAACCGTGTCCGACGCAGAAAGAGTGTCATGTTTCGGCGAAAGCATTACGAGATACATACCTAGCTGCCAGTGAGAGCGGGAGCGCCGGCGTTGCGCGAACTATAGGTTCTCCCTGATTAAAGTGGGCTTATCGGAAAGAGCGACACCCTGCCTGCCGGCCTACCGCAGGAAGTGCGTTGCCCGTAGAGCGGGGAGGGCCAAGCGACATAAGCGGAAACCCCCACCGCAAATACCGACGACAACAAACAAACGTGTCTCCAAAGTGCTTCCACTCGCCGACCGCGCAAGCAGAGTAGTGAACAAGCGAGAGTGAAAAGCAGGGCATGACCCATGACGTCGGCGGCGGACACCGCAAAAACATTGGGCCATTAGCCGCACCGAGGAGGTGGTCTCCAAGGGTAGGGCCAGAGCCAAAACTACCCCACTGTCGAGAAGGCACCGAACGGCGGCTTTGGATAGATGCAGCTCCTGATGCCTCCACCACTTCAAGAAAAAGAATGAAAAATAAGGGCGGAGGTGAGCCCGAGTCCAAAAGGGCCACCCTAGGCGCCGCACGCACTGCACCGGCACGACTTTGGGTATGCACACACGCACAGAAGAGGTTTCGCTAGCCAATAATACGTCACCGCTCACCCAATCTTGGCATGTTCCGACAACCGCCGACCAGGGCCCCAAGAAAGACGTCTGCAACGGATGCGCGGTCAAACGCGCCGATACCTCACTGCTGATGAATAGATTCGATGCGATATCCTTTACGTCCGTCACGATAACTTCCATGGATGAAGCGGGAATTCTAAAAGGTGAAAGATTGTCATTGAAGATCCTCGTACAAACCTCCGTTGGAAGCTGGACTCGGGGTAATAAACGTCCAGGGGAGTTACGCAAAAAAAGCTTCCATGAAAGTCGAAAGTGGTAGTTGCATGGAAGCTGCAAGAACGGGGGTGATTTCCATTGAAGTTGGTGAATTTGGTTTCATGGAACCCACCAGCGGCCGAGGATTAGCTTTTCGACTTCCACTACATAGTTTCCATGGAAGTTCAACTTCCGTGGAAATCGCTCGTGAATCTCCCCTATCTACACGTTCACGGAAGTTCTTTCAACGTCCGTGGAAGTCACTTGGTAAGGTTCCATGGAATTCAAACTCACCCGGCGTCCATGGAAGAATTCTATATCCATGGAAGTTACACACGTGTGTCAAGCATTGTACATACCCGCGGGGCGCTTGGCACCCATGTCCTGAGGGAGACCTTGTACGTAGCTTGAATATTCTCTTGAAATGTCCGTATGATGAACGGCCATCCCCACAGAGCAACGCACGTCCCGGCCTGGTACCTCTCCTACCCACACATGATCTACAGATCATCACTTCGATCCGAGGGAACCACGCAACAAGGGCACGAAGAAGCTTAGCTCACTGTCTCTACAAGACGACAGCGTGAGCAACTCCCACTGGGACTACCTACGCGAAGATGTTGGAGAGAAAGGTTTCGTTGACCGATAACCCCGAAATTGCACTTTACAACCTGTCTTTCGGCGTCAAAAAAGGCCACGACAAAGTGCCCTGCTGTCTCCCGCTCCAGCACGTCAATCTGCAGCGCACACATGCTAGCCACCTTTACCAAGCTTCTTTACCAATCTTCGGCCTGCCAGCGGCATCAAGTGGTACCCGCACGCACTCAAGCGTTCATCAAAGGCCTGTCTCAAACCACCAACCAACAGCGCATGTGAGGAGGACTACAGGAGTTGACTAATATTGGTGTGTTTGGCGAAGCGTCTCGCCACGTTGGAGAAGTTGTTAGGCTTCGTTACTGGAAGCGGCGCCACAGGCTGGGCGCAGCGGCGGCGATCAGCCAAACAACGGCCGAACTTCCCTTTGCCGCAGCGGAACGGGTGGCGGATGACTCGGTGTTGGTCGGGTCCGCGTCGTCTGTAGCGTCCTTCTTGTCTTCGTCGTCATCGCCGATGGGGAGGGGCGCGCTGCCGGTGCTCTCGCCGTCGTCAGCAGCGGTACTATCAGTGTCGGTCGTAGCATCGATTTCGGAATCGGTGTCGGTGGATGTATCGGTGGGGGATCCGGTGTCGGTTGTGGTATCGGAGCCAGAAATGGCCCCGCTTCCGCCCGATGCGCAATCTCCAAGGTCGAAGGAGCAACCAGTATCCGCATTGATGCAGGCTGACAAGACAGGCAGCGCGAGCACCATATGTTTTGCGAGGGTGTACACAACAGTGTTGGTGGTAAAAATGTTAACCGCATGGTGTTATTCGCATCCGTCGTAGACATACCGAGACATGCGCAACGCCGGCCGGGTTACGGGAGCTACGACTGGAATCCATTTCTGACATATGTTGGTCGCCCGCCGATCACAAACAAATCTCAATTTCACGTGCAGAGGTCGAGGTTTCCACCCAAATAAGCCCCGGACATACGCGGTCATCCTTAACACACACCGAGCGATTCCGCACACACAAGACAACCAGGAACGCACCTAAGAGGTCATTGAGCCCATCGTTGTCCTCGCAGCCATCCACCGCACAGCACACAGCTCCTTCAAGATCATCGCAGGTGGTACCACCCGCTGACACAAGGCATCCCTCCACGAGTGCAGCATACGACGTGACGCAGTCTACGCACTCCGTGTCATCGTTGCAAGCCACCACTTCGGTGGCGCATTCGGTCTCGCTCGTCGTCATCGAGGTGTAAATGGTGTCGGTTGTGGACGTGGTTGTCGATGTCGTCAGGTAGCCCGCGGAATCGGTGTCGGTGGTGGCATCGGAGTCAGAAATGGCTCGGCTTCCGTCCGATGCGCAATCTCCAAGGTCGAAGGAGCAACCAGTATCCGCATTGATGCAGGCTGACAAGACAGGCAGCGCGAGCACCATATGTTTTGCGAGGGTGTACACAACAGTGTTGGTGGTAAAAATGTTAACCGCATGGTGTTATTCGCATCCGTCGTAGACATACCGAGACATGCGCAACGCCGGCCGGGTTACGGGAGCTACGACTGGAATCCATTTCTGACATATGTTGGTCGCCCGCCGATCACAAACAAATCTCAATTTCACGTGCAGAGGTCGAGGTTTCCACCCAAATAAGCCCCGGACATACGCGGTCATCCTTAACACACACCGAGCGATTCCGCAGACACAAGACAACCAAGAACGCACCTAAGAGGTCATTGAGCCCATCGTTGTCCTCGCAGCCATCCACCGCACAGCACACAGCTCCTTCAAGATCATCGCAGGTGGTACCACCCGCTGACACAAGGCATCCCTCCACGAGTGCAGCATACGACGTGAAGCAGTCTACGCACTCCGTGTCATCGTTGCAAGCCACCACTTCGGTGGCGCATTCGGTCTCGCTCGTCGTCATCGAGGTGTAAATGGTGTCGGTTGTGGACGTGGTTGTCGATGTCGTCAGGTAGCCCGCGGAATCGGTGTCGGTGGTGGTATCGGAGTCAGAAATGGCCCGGCTTCCGTCCGATGCGCAATCTCCGATGTCGACGGAGCAGGGAGAATCCGAATTGATGCAGGCTGACAAGACCGGTAGCGCGAGCACCAAGTGGTTTGCGAGGGGGCACACAACAGCGTTAGCAGCAAAATGGTGACATCGCGATGGTATTCGCACATGTCGTAGACATACCGAGACATGAGCAACGCCGGACGGCATGGTTGGCATCCATTTCTGTCCTACCTCGGCCTATGCCGATCGCCGGTGGCAGTACAATGTCACAATCACTTTGAACAGTTTCGATCCTTTTACGCCCCTAGCATTTGCCGTCAATCGCAACACTCCCAGAGATTTTCGCAGACACAACCAGACCATGCACCTAAGAGGTCATTGAGCGCGACGTTGTCCTCGCAGCCATCCACCGCACAGCACACAGCTTCTTCAAGATCGTCGCAGGTGGAACCAGTCGCTGAAGCAAAGCATCCCTCCACGGTGTCAACGTACGACTGGGTGCAGAATATGCACTCGTCATCCACGTTACACGCCGAGAGTTCGGCGGGACAATCGCTGCTGGAGGCTGTGGAGTCCGTGGTGGTGTCGGAGCCGGCAGTTGTCGCTCCGCTGCCTCCTGGACAATCACCGATGTCAATGACTCCGCAACCAAGGTCCGCATATAAGCAGCCTGCCCCACGATATTACGAACGGGAGAGAACCAAACGTGAGAGGGGTGCAACGCATGGATCACAACCTCAAACGAGCACGGCACCTGCACGAAAGCGTACAGACCACGCACTGCTTCGCCACTGGGGCCTGTAGAAAGATGGGCCGGAATGATTTCACTGATGAAGAGGGATATGGCATGAAACCAATGCTGCTGCATCTAAGCGATGAAGATGCTGAAGGTGAACTTTTGTAGTTGGGTTGAATTATTCGTGGATTCAAGGCGCACAAGCATATGAAGAAGCTAATCGACTTGCCACCAGCCGGTCGGGTTCCGGTCACCCGTAGAAGCCTTGTTGCCGGGTTACCAAAAGATTCAACAACAGGTATGTGAGAGACCTTCTCATCGCCGTCACTACAATTGTGTCTGAGCCCTGAGACGCGAGAGTTCAATCAATATTCCATTCTAAAAGGAAGACGTTTGTTTTTCGGTTCATCAGTCTGCGGTTGCCTTGAGACTTATTCTTCGCCGTTCTTCGCCACCTGCAGCGCGTCAGTCTCTCGATCACAACGCCCCTGTCGCAAACTCGGTTACCCAAAGGCGAATACATGTAGAGTCCATGCATGCAAACATTATTCCATTCAACAAGCTAGACGTTAAATATGTTGTTCGACTGCCTTTGTCGATCTGAGCGTGCAAATCTTACCATCACAAATGATACCCGTGTCGCGAACTCGAGACTCCAACAGCGAGGCGAGTCATCATTACTCTCAGCTGTCGTTACCTAAAACGCTGCGCGAGAGGCCACGTTTGTGCACGTACCCATGAAGTCGGCAAATTCCTCGTTGTCCTCGCAGCCTTCCGCCGCACAGCACATGGCGTCGACAAAGTCATCGCATGTGGAGGCGCTGCTGAACGAAGAAAAGCATCCGTCGAAATTTTCGAAGTAGGTCTCGTCGCAAGACAAGCAACTGGTAGACGCCACGCAGGCATCCACTTCATCCGGGCAGACAGTGGACGAGGAGTACAAGTGTCGCATCATGTGATCCATGGGAATATTCGAGCCTTCGGCACCTGCCTTGGCCACGAATCCCCCGACGAGAAGGAGGGTCTTGGCGAATGTTCCGCCATGTTCTCCCCGCATGCTGTTGGCCTTTAAACCCTGGCTAAACTGAGACGACACACGGGCGGGATCCGACGGGAAATCAACGGAGAGGTGATCGTACGCGACAGCAACTCACTCAGGTACTATCCCGAGTTGCTGGTGGCACCCAGACTGTTGCCGCGGCAGTTATCAACACACGAGCTTCCTTGCAGCGGTGGTCGCAACAAGCACCACCCGAACGTGGTGACGTTGGGCACAAAGGAGTGCTTGAGGCGTTTGTCCTCCAGTAGGTCATGTGTAAACGTGCAGGTGCCATGACGAATGAATGTCAGTAAGACTTCGTCCTAATAATGTTTTGGTCGGTCTAAGTGTTGCCGGGTCTCGCCCCGCCGGGGCTGGAAACATTTAACAATTAGCAATGTGGGCAAAAGGTACTGTACGTTCTCGGCGGGCAATACACACTACTCGACCTTCGGGTGGAAATCGCACAGCAACTAGGATAAATGTTGATCACATTGGGTTTTTGTTCAGGGGTATACAGTAAAGGAGGGAGTTTCCCCCCCGTAGTAGATTCCTCCCCCCCCCCCATTGCCTTTTACCCCCCCCCCCTCCGGCGATGAGAGGTAAGGCGACAGGAGGCGAGGGCGATAGAGGCGAAGAAGGGACCGGGCGGGGGAGACGAGCAGGCATATCAGCAGAACGCCGAGAAGAAGCGGAAGGCGAAGGATAGAGTGCGCAAAATCTCCAGTAGGGAAAAGCACAAGCTGAGAGTGGGGTCGTGGAACGTGTGCGGGTTAGCAAGGAGTGAGCGCAAGCGGTTGGAAATAGTGGACCAAGTAGAACAAAGCGATCTGGATGTAGTGGGGATCCAAGAGACGTGGGAACTGAAGGATGGGGACGTGGTAAGCAAAATAGGGAAGTACCGGTGGGTAGGGAAGGCAAGAAAGGCCTTAGACCCGAAGAAAAGGGGGGAGGGGGGAGTCGGATTCCTGGTCAAGGAACACTTGTTTGACGTGGTGGAAGTAGTGGTGAAAACGGAGTTCGAGGAAAGCCTATGGCTTAAGATACCTGGGGAACGGGGTGAGAAAGATTTGTTTCTAGGGAACGTATACGTCCCACCGTCGTCGAAGAAAGTCGCAAGCAAGGCGCAGGAGAACTTCGGACAAATTGGGGAAGATGTCCAGAGGTTCAGTAGGAAGGGAGAAGTTGTCATGGTGGGCGATTTCAACTCCAGAGTAGGGAAAGCTTGCAGTAGAGGACAGGCGATCGGGCAGCACGGAGAAGACAAAGTGAATGACAACGGAGTGAGGATGCTTGAATTCTTGGAAAGCAACGAGCTGATGGTGTTGAACGGTAGGAGGGAAAGCGATAAGCCGGAGTTCACCAGGCAGAGGGCAGTTTGCAATGAATACTCGATCCTCGACTACATCCTGGTAGATAGGGGGAGCACACAGGTCCCGGAGCTGCACGTAAGTGCAATAGATATAGGTTCGACCGACCATTTCCTCATATGGGCAAACATCGACCGATCTAGAAAGACGGAGAGTAAGAACAAGAGGAAAGTGTTCCGGTGGAAAGTAGAGCTTTTGGGAGACGAGGGGACACGCGATGAATTCCAGAAGGGATTGGCTGGTAGTGTAGAACCCTTCAGGAAACTGCTGAGAAGCGTCGAAGACGGAAAGGTAGACGCACAAGCAGCAGGGGACAGGGTGATTGAAGGATGGGAGTCCATAGTGAACACAACGGCAGAGAGAGTAGTGGGAAAGAAGGTGGTACGATGTGGGGTATCGGTTAAGTGGTGGGATGACGAGCTGAAAGAAGAAATAGGGGAACGTAGAGAAGTCTTCAAGCAGTACCTCGGTGAGGGGTCTGAAGAGAGTTGGGAAAAGTACAGGGCCAAGAGGAAACAGGTGAAGGGACTAGTGAAAACGAAGAAAAAGTGCATTTGGGACGAAGTAGTGCAGAAGGCCAACGGAGGCCTGGAGGGGAACGTCAAGCAGATGTGGGAAGGGATTAGTGAGATGGTGAAAAAGACCGCGCAAGGGGGGGATACAGGGGTAGCAACATTGCGAGGTGTGAACGGTGGACTAGTCAGCAGTGGGAAGGGAAAAAGGGAAGTTCTAGCAGGACACTACAAGAGACTTGGAGTGCCTTCGGAGAATGAAGATTTTGACCAAGTGTTTAAGAAGGAGGTGGACGCATGGGCCCAGAAAGAAGAAGAGACATCGAAGGCAGACGTTGGGAACGTAGAACTAGAAAAAGAGTTCACTGAGGACGAGGTTGAGGCGTGTGTGAACAAGCTGCAGTGCCACAAAGCAGCAGGGGCGGATGGGATAGTAAACGAGTTCATGAAGTTTGGGGGGAAGGGGATGATCCAGCTGATGGTACTGTTGTACAACTGGGTGTGGAAAAACGAGTATGCCCCAAGTAGATGGAGGGAAGGAGTGGTTGTGAACCTGTTTAAGAAAGAAGACAAGACTGACCCAGGAAACTACAGGGGTATCACACTGTTGAACACAGTAGGAAAAGTGTTTTGTAAGCTGCTGAACGATAGGATAGTGGGAGTACTGGAGAAGAAACGTAGCATTAGTGAGGGCCAGGCAGGTTTCCGACAGAAGAGGGGGTGCGTAGACCACGCATTCACGGTAGGGAGAATCATCCAAGGTAGAAAGAGGGCGGGAAAGCGGACGTACTGCTTCTTCCTGGACGTGAAAAAGGCACACGATACCGTATGGAGAAATGGGCTGTGGAAACAATTGTCCAAGTACGGGATCAAGGGGAAAATGTGGAGGGTGCTGAAGAAGATGACAGAGTGTACGAATAGCGCGGTCATGCTAGACGGAGAACTCTCTAAATTCTTCGACATTGAGCAAGGGGTCCCACAAGGTTGCACGCTGTCCCCAACATTGTTCCAGGTGTTCATCAACGATCTGTTGGAAGTCGTAGAGGCAGTCCGGAAGGGAGTAAAAGTAGGGGACACGGAAACTTCGGTGTCAGGAATGCTGTTTGCGGATGACTTTGTTGGTATGTCGGACACCCCTGAGGGACTGCAACTGCAAATTGACGCGGCGAAGAAGTTTACTGATAAGTGGAGATTGTCTGCCAACGTTGCGAAGAGTGCCGTCATGGTATGCAACGAGGGCAGGAAGGAACCAGTAGAACATAGATGGAAGTGGGGGATCGAGGAGATTGCAGTAGTGGACCAGTACACATACCTCGGAGTAGAGATCGCAAAAGATTGCTCGTGGAATGCACACATGTCCAAGGTAGCGGAAAAGGGCAAAGCACGAGCAGGGAAGCTGCACCCAATACTCGCAAACCGGCACCATGATACACGCATCAAACTGACGGTTTTGAAGAGCGTAATCGTACCGCCGCTAGAGTACGCCGGAGAAGTATGGGAAGGAAATAAGAAGGTAGTGAAAGAACTCGAGGCGGCGCAGATGAAAGCAGCGAAAATCATCCTAGGATGCTCCAAGCGCACAAGTAATGCAGCTGTCAGGGCAGAATTGGGGATCCAATCCCTACGGTCGGGAAGAGACGTAAGGAAGCTGACATGGCAGTATCGCATGTGCGGGATGGGAGAGGAGAGGTTGCCGAGAATAGTATGGGAGGCGAAGTGGGCAAACAAAAAGAGGGGTAGACAACCCACGGAATGGGTCAAGGTTGTAGAGGACGTATGGAAGGGATTGGACATCGACGAAGATGAAACGCTGGAAAGGGAGGGTCTACAGGGGTTCAAGAAGAAGATATCTGTTGCTTGTGCCGACAGAGAAGAACAGAATCTAAGGAAATAATCCAAGGATAAGGAGGGTCTAGAAGTGTACGGATTGTTGAAAGAAGGAATAGGGTTCAAGGATTACCTACATGGACCAATGGATGCAGGGACAAAGCTTAAGGTCAAATTCAGGACCGGGGACATAGGCCTTCGCGAACGTCGACGAAGACATAGGACGGTAGACGACGAAGACGACAAGTTCAAATGCGATTGCGGCTTCGAATGCGAAGACATTGTTCATGTAGTCGCGGAATGTCCGTGGTACGAAAAGGAGAGGGAAGTGTACATGACTGAGCTGGGAAGAATACAAGGGACGTACAGGGAGATGTTTGAGGCATGGAATAGAGAGGAGAGGACGGTAGCGGTACTGGGGAGTAGAAAGTGGTTTGAAAAGGCGGGAAGTGACATCGGTAGGATAGGCAAACTAGGGAAGACATTTTTGAGCCACCTTTGGCAAAGTAGGAAGGAACGATTGGCCATCGGTGATCGGTCCTGTGGGAACAATGCTCCGTCCTCTCGAGGACGCGTGGTCAATGGTCTAGCCGCTAAGGCATGCAAAGCATAAGAGTACGCCCCCCCCCTCCGGCGATGTTTGACATCGAGATTGGGTTTTCGTCGCTTGGCAACGACGTTGTAAAACAAGCCAATTCACTCCGTGAACTCGGCAACCAGGTTTCCGCTTTTTTTTTTTTTTGCGATAACCATAATGGTGGTCGAGTAGATCATGTTGTGCGGGGTCGAGAACCCTCACTCCGCGAAAGGGGGATGATCGCACCACGTTGTGTTAAAATGGTCAAGCACCCTCGAGGTAGTTACACAGTGCTTATAACTGTCTCTGGAAGTGAAAGCACCAGAAAATAAATTAAGTCATATGCAGCTGTCATCCGTACGCAAGGAAGAAAACACAAGATGTCGAACACCCTTAGCAGGATGCAGCGCACCCTTCGTGCGACTCGCCGAGAGCCTGGTCCGGTGAGAACCCGGCGTGTTCCGCCCCGGCTTTGCAGGGATGCGAGGTCAACGGTCTAACGACTACGGCATGCACGACTACATGTATGAGTACCCCCGCCCCCCCCCCCCCATTACCTTTTCGGGCTGGAAACATGGTTTCTTTGATTTAGCCCCGGGGTAAAACGTTTTCTACCAAAAACAAATCCCTCCGGGTATTTCAATTTTCCCCCGGGATACCAATTTTCCCACGAGTTCCCCCCGCGGGGGATGC